TATATATATATATATATATATATATATATATATATATATATATACCGTCATTCTTATAAAGTTATTTATTTATATTATATTTTTACTTATACTTTATTTCTAATGTTTTTCAAAAACTAGTATTAATATTTTTAAATACATAGTATCGGAATTGATGATCATAAAAAAATTGTATTCTAGGAAAACGATCGGAACCAACATCACGAAAGACACCTTGTATAGATGAAAAAAAAAAAAGAAAGGTAAGACAATAGTTGCATTCATTATAATTGTTTTATTAAAACTATTGATTTATATTATTTTACTTTTAGATAATGAAGAAATTAAAATTCTCAAAGATAAAACGGTAAGCAGTAAAACAAAAAGTAATAAAGAGATAAATAATAAGGAGAATGGTAAGTTTTACAAGGCTTTTACGAAATTTTGCACGATTATTTTTACAAAATAATAATTCAGTGAATTTTTACTCGTACTAAGAAACTAAATAAAGATTAACGAAAGTCTGTCATATAAGACCATAATTGTAAAAGCAATATTGACATAGTTTATATTTTACAGCTACGAAAATTGAAATTCAGGGCTCGGTGAAAGAGGAGAATTTGAAATCAAATGAAACATTACATAAACGAATGAAAAAAATAGAGATGGAATTGTATCGTCTGAGGAAAGCTGTTGGCGAATTAGTTACAGATATTAGAACATTGAATAATGTAAGTAATTAAATTTTGATCTAAAGATTTCTAAATTTTTTTCAAAAAGTTTTATAATTTGTTTAAAATTTTTATTATTTTTTAAATAAGTTTAGTGAGATTATGAACAATAAATATGTTGGGATGACATTAACTATTTGTGCACGATGAAAGTCGGTTTTTTAATAATTAATTGCGCAAAAGCAATTTTTGTGAGATACTTTTTTTCCGAAAATTTATTTCATAAATGATTAATATTAATTATTATATTAAAAATTCAGCTTTCTATTTTTACGAAAATGTTGTAGAACTTGCTCTAGTTCGATTAAAAAATACTGGCTAGAGTTAGGGCTATAAGATATTTAATCATGATTCTTCCCGGGAAAAAATCTGCATGCATGACCGTGTACGATCAGGCGTTAATTTCATGCATGATCATGCATGTATATTTGCCAGACATGAGCTTGTATGGTCATGCATGATCATCCGTAATCAGTCATGGTCATGCTCTTTCATGTCTGGCAAATATTCATGACTGATCGTGCATGACCAAGCATCATCATATTCAATCAGTCATGATCATGCTTTTCCATGTCTGGCAAATATTCATGACTGATCGTGCATGACCAAGCATCATCATATTCAATCAGTCTTGATCATGCTTATTTACATGTTTAGAAAATACTCATGCGTGATCATGTATGACAAAGCATGATCATAATTGATCAATTATAATCATGTTGTATTCCATGTCTAGCATATATTCAGGGAAATTTTTGACTGGCTATGTTAGCTCGTAGTTGTGAAGAAATTGAACCTTGTAAAACTTAATTAAAATTAAATAATTTGTTCACAATAAAAAAACACATACAAAACAATTTCAAGACTATAGTCTTTATTTAAGTATTCAAGGCTACTTTTAAAAAATACTGATCAGATAAATTGTAACATTGATTATTTATATAAATTGATATAGATCAATTTTTTAATGAGACGCATTTAATAAAACTAATAATTTATTACGTCTACAACACACATAAAATAAATTGTTGAAAACCACCACACGTTATACAAGTAGTCTTTTAACTAGTTTTTGTTGATACGATATAATCAGTTGCTCCACACTTGTACAAAGAGGTTTTTGGTTCATTATATAACCATTCTTCTTAATAACTAAAACATTATTCAACATGAAATGAAAATTATTTTTTAAGTAAGTTTGAGTTATTTTTTTAATATAATAAGCACAAGTATTAACTAAACTCAACTAAAAGCTAGGCTTTGGAAGTCAAATTAAATAAAAATGAATAATTATTCATCACAATAGTGGATTGTTATTGAGATCACATCGAAATAAATATTTTTACTGTCATCATGTTCGACGCCTCTTAAGAACTTTGGCTGATGTTTATTTTTTTTTTTAATCAACACAATTTTTCAAACAGTTCTAAAAACTAGATTCTAGAATACAAATAATACAAAATAAGATTAATTTTTAATATCATAGTACTTGTAGTAAAGATCATAGATGATCATTAAGTATCAACATTTTATTTATATCCTATTTAACGAAACCATAACACTTAAACCGATACTTCTTATTTTTTTTTTTTAACCAAAAATAAAACAATTTCTTGAAAAATCTTTAAAATTAGATTCTAGAAAACAAACAATACAATAAGATCCATTTGAGATAAATCTAATTGCTATTATTGAGATCGTGTATGGTTAAATCATCAAGCATCAATATACCAACTAAAAAATCAATACTTCTTATTTTTTTTTTTTTTCAAATATTTAAAACTAACCAGATATGTGTCTAAGTCAACTATTCAACGAAAATAAAACACTCAAGTCGATAATTTTTTCTTTTTTCAAAATTAAAAGCAAAACGATGTTTTAAACACCTTCAAAAACTGGATTATAGAATATTCTATAAATATATAAAAAAAACTATCTATCTATATATATAAAAAAACAATACAATATAAGATCAATTCGAGATAATAGAACTTGCAGTGGATATTATTTATGATTAACACCAAGCATCAATATTTGATTCATGTAGTATTGAACATAATTAACAAACCTAAACCGATTCTTCTTATTTTCTTCTTAAATTTAAAGTAAAACAATTTTTTAAACATCCTTACAAACTAGATTCTAGAATACAAACAATGTAATATTAGATCATTTTAAGATCATTGCACTTGTACTTAAGATCATAAACGATTATCATCAAGTACTCATCTACTTACTGAAGAACCAATACTCCTTTTTTTTTTTTCAAATATTTAAAATGAATCAGATATGTGTCAGAACGTCAACTACTTAAGATCTAAAATATAAATAAGACAATAATAGAGATATAAATTTATATTTTGATCTTTAAGCTTGACGAATTTCCAGATTTTTCTTGTGTGCATTTCTGATTTCCGTAAGTTTCTGACCTATACTTTTCTCAATAGTTTTAACATCCTGAGCCGTCCAATGTTTTTCCCGAGCTATTTCTTGAGCATACGCTAAAAAAGAAATAAGCTCTTATTATTCTATTTACTTAGATACATTACTTTCTTCTTTCAAAAAATGATATTTTTACTTTGTTACTGAAACATTATCTTAAATTGTGCATAGTTTAAATTATAATTACAAAATCTTATACTAAATTGAAAAAATAAAAAAATTAACCAGTTTCGAATTTATTTACTGAAAAAGACACTTACCAACGATGGCATCTTTGGCACCTCCATGCAACGGTAAAACGTTTGGATCTTTCTTTCCCCTCATTGCCTTTCCGGTTAAAGTGCTGCGTTGTAAGATTTCTGCTTTTATCACCCCTTCTAATAGTTGTCTTGCAAGGTGCGATGCTTGAGAAGATGTACGTTTTGCTGTATCTAACACGGTCTTTTTCACGTAAATGTTATTTTTTAACAGGACCATCTAGGAAGATAAATATAAAAAATTGAGAGAAAGATTAAATGAATTTTATCAGATATTTTATAAATTTGAATTCCTTACATCGGCACTCGCAACGCCCAAGAGATGATCATCATTGTCTAAACTTGATTGTTGAACTTCTAACTCTCTGCCATTGTTATCTACCTCTTTATAACAATGAAATTTAAACTATTCATTATTTATTTTTTTGCTTAAGTACTATTAATAGTTAAAAGAATAGAGCAGCTCATAAACTTACCATCATTTTTCGTACTTTCCCGTGTAGAGTTTTCACAAGCCGAAGGCGAATCAGTCTTTGAGGATGTATTTTTTCCCTCTTTAGGTAGAGAGTCTTTCTTGTTAAGGGCCGAACGATCGGATGAATCGTCTCTACGACTAGAGTGTTTATCTACCTTTCCAGTCCTTTTTGGCTTTTCAAGATTTTCGGTTGAATCTTCTAATGAACTAATGTCGGACACTTCATCCTTTTTAGATTTACTATCATCTTCCGAGTTTTCACTAGATGAACTGGACTCATCTTTTTTTAACTTTTTTGATTTCTATATTCAAAATTAATAAACAAAATCATTCAAAGTAGAAATAATATTCAAACAATTTCCCAAGTGTGAATCTATGAGACAGAATTAATTTTTTCTTCATAAAAAAACTAAATAAAATAATTAAAAATTTTTAATTTTTGAAAAAATGCACTTGGAGATTTTTAAATTTCCTATTGTTCATTTTTATATTTTTCAATAATTTCCGTTCTATGTATTTTTTTTTTTTCATAAAAAACTATCTATTTTTTTTTTTTTTTTTCATAAGAAAAATTCATCATTGTCGTCTAAATTCGCTCGACAGACAGAATAAATTTTTTATTCATAAAAAAATAAGTAAAATAATTTAAAATTTTTGAAAAAATGCACTTGAAGATTTTTAAATTTCCTACATGTGCATTTTTTTATTTTTCAATAATTTCCGTTCTATGTATTTTTTTTTTTTTTCATAAAAAACTATCTATTTTTTTTTTTTTTTTTTTTTTTTTATAAGAAAAATTCATCATTGTCGTCTGAATTCGCTCGAGTAATAATTCAATTTATAAAAATTAATAGAATAAATTTGAGATTTTACCTTAGCTTGTTTATCATTTTCCTTTGATTTGTTGGATTTCTTATCATAATCCGAAGGAGAGTAACTTCTTTTTTTGTCTCTCTTGCGTTTTAGTTTGGGATCTAAAATTTATGGCGTGATAAATTTTTTATAATCAAGAAAATTAATTAAAAATAAAATTAAAAGTTTATATCGACGAGAGTAAATTGTATAAATAAATCCTACTTACCAGTTTTCTTAATGACGCGGCCAGTGTAAATTTTTGATTTATAAAAAAATTTTGTTTCATCTTCAATTTTAAGAGAAGCCGGATCACCAACAATATCCTCACTTACGACATTAACATTTGTTTTTAACTCCTTTGATTTAATGACAAACATTGTCACAAATCAAACTGATCAAATAAAAGTAGTTATGATAAAGTAACAGCCAATTTTTTCTAGGTTATATGTATCTGGCAATACTTTACACCGAAATGAAAACCTTTAATTTATAAATTATGTTGAACTATTTTATATGTCAATTAAAATATAATATATTAAATATAATAAAGATAAATATTCATAAGAGACTGAATACAAAATAAAAACCGACGCACCGAGGAAAAAATGTACGCCGGAATTTTGGCGGCTACCGCGTGATTGGAAAGCGAGAGAAACTTTCTCTGAGAAAGTAAGGATACTTCCCCTACTCTCCCTACCTTTATATTCAAGCGGTAAAACAGATTTACACAGCCATCATTTTATTAAAATATTTGTCACTATAATCAAAAGCATAATAACTTTTATCTTTCATTTTTAATTAAAATAAAAAAAAAAATACTTGTTATTTACTAAACATACTAACAAATACAAGGTGACTAATAATATGTTGCGTAAGAAATATAAGTCTTGGATGTTGGATGAAAATGCACAGGTAAATATAGACATTATTTACATTCTTATGTACAATACTTACTATATATTAATAATTATCAATAATAATTCTCTTCAATGAATATTTATGAATACTAATGAATTATATTTTTATAGATTCCTTTGAGAACCTGTTATAATTACACTAAAAGAAAATTGGAAAATCCATCAGACGATGGTATGAATTTGAATAAAAGATACTGTGAAAATAATATAAACTACGATGAAGATAATGATATTGCATTAAGTGATCTCAGCTCGGATAATGATGTTGAAGATGATGATAGCAATCAAGATCCTGATGACAGCAACGGGAGTGAAGATGGTGGTTCCAATAGTGAAACCAGCGAATCAAGTGATTCTATTGAAATTACAGATAACGCAGAGACTGAGGACCTAATCATCAACAATAATAATGGTATACTGGAGTATTTATACCAAGATTGTTCGTTAACAACGGATGAAAGTGTTCTAATGCTTTTAGAATTGTACATTCAACATCGAGTTACTAAGTCTTGTTTAACAGCTATTCTAGTGATGCTTCATACAATGCTACCAAATTCTAACACCTTACCTCATTCTGTATTTAAATTATTTAATTATGCTACCGATTTAACGCCATCAGTTACTATAATAAAGCATTATTATTGTCAAAACTGTTCATCTTATCTCGGAGTTGATGGTAAAATTGAAGAGTGTAATTCATGTGGAGCCAAGAAAAAACAAATATTTCACTTTTTTGAAAGAGATATTGGACAAGTTATTAAATTTTTTTTTGAAGAGTTGAAATTGCCTGAAAAATTACAATCGCCTAGTATTTGTAATGAAAATAATGTCATTACTGATATCATTGACGGCTCAGAATATCGAAGAATAAATTCCAGAGATGATCGTGGAGTATACGATCTTACATTGATTTTAAATACAGATGGTATTTCTTTAAGCAAAAGCTCCAAAACCAATTGTTGGCCACTGATGATTACTATAGCTGAGTTACCAGAAAATTTGAGAAGTAATTTCATTACTCCTATTGGACTTTGGTGTGACGGGAAATGTAAGCCGACGATGAATACGTTTTTGAAACCATTTTGTGATAAATTAACAAATTATTACAACGAAGGTATTAAATGGACTAATCCTAGAACCGGTGATGAAATTGTTTCAAAAGTTGTTGCTCCACTTATAATTGCTGATGCTCCGGCGAGAGCGTTAATTCAAAATATCCAAAATTTTAATGGAAAATTTGGCTGTAATATTTGTGAGCTATCAATGAAAAAGTGCAAAACAATCAAAGGAAAGAGAAATAAGAGTACGTATCCTTTCATTGAAGAAGTTGCTAGATTGAGACAAGGACGAAGAATGAAAAAACAAGCACTAAAAGCAGTTGCTTCTGACGGTAAATGTCATGTTAAAGGTGTTAAAGGACATACTGTTGTTTCTAAGTTACCTCTCATCGATCTCGGAACCTGTTTGCTACCAGAATATATGCACTCGGCGTTACTTGGTGTAGGGCGGCAATTTGCTGAGATCTATGTTAATAAAAAAGGCCCTTGGAATTTAAAAAATTGTTGTGCAGCAATTGATAACGATTTATTGGGAATTCGACCACCACATTTCATCAACAGAATGCCAAGAAGCTTATCAGACTTTAAATTGTATAAAGCCTCAGAATACTATTATTTTATCTTATTTTACTCACTTCCAGTCTTGGAAAATCGTCTACCACAAAAATATTTGGAACATTGGATGCTTTTTGTTAAAGGATTATATATGTTACTCCAAGGTCAAATTACAAAACAAGATATAATAAATGCAAAGGAACTATTAACAGAATTTGTAAAGCAAACTGAAATTCTGTACAGTGATCGTGAACTAAGTTATAATCTTCACCAACTTATACATTATCCGCTAATAGTAGAAAGATGGGGCCCTTTGAAACATACATCAGCATTTTCTTTTGAAAATTTTAATGGTTTTTTGACTCATAATACTCACGGAACGAAGCATTTGGGTCAAGAAATAATGAATCATTTGAAAATTATTGAAGGGATCCAAGTTTTAAAAAATCGAGTTCAGGTCAACAATGAAGTGAATCCATCATGTCAGTCCTCGACAAATAAGCTCTTGGGACAAATCGTTGATGTTGAGTTGAATGATAATGAGCTTAACTTGATTGAATCAATTGGTTTGGATCCAATGAATTTAAAAATTTATAGTAAAGCTGAAATTAATCGGGAGTTATTTACTTCTGAGCTTTATAAAACAATTAAAACAAATAGCTTTACAGTAAAATTAATTTTATTTAACAATTTGGTAACTTATGGATCAATAAAATTTTTTGTAGCAGTGGAAGGTATTGTATGTTTCGTTTTAGAAAAATTTATAATTGAAGAAAAAAGATTCTTTGGTAATTCAGAACGATTGAAAATTAATCATATAATACCAATAATTGAGAGTAAAAAATTAATCTTTGTAACTGTAAATCAAATTAAAGCCATAAATCATGTATTGCGAGTAAAGGACTTTGTATGTGATGATTTGAAATTATTAAAAAATACATTTTGAGAAATTGATAATTTAATTTAATTAAAATTTTTTTTTTTATGAGAAATGTAAAGTAAATAAATTATAAATGATGAACCATATCAAAATGACTTGACTATTTTACTTATAAATGTATTTTTATTGTCATTTAATTAACGTTGTCAATGCATACTCTATTATGATTATTCCAGGAAAAAAATTGCCTGCATAACCATGCTTAATCAAGCATGATCATTCATAAACATGCATGAACCATGGATAATCGTGCCTGGTCAAGCATGATTCAGGCAAGGTCTTACTCAATCATACATCTTAATACTGGGCGATCATAAACGATCCGCGTGACCTTGCATGATACATCCACAATCATGCTGGAGTATGCCCGGTGTATACAATCGAACTGAAAGGTCGTGCATGAGCTTGCATAATAAAGCATGTGCATATAAGAAACTACATAATTCATGCTTGATCAAGTCTAATCATGCACGATAACTTTCAACGCAGCTAAACTTATCATGCGTGACTATGCACGGTCTTGAATAGACATGTACATTTATTCTTCGCCAAGGTTATAACCATACATGACCACCTGTGAGCAGTGGCCAGAATGATCAAGCTCGATCCTGCTTGACCGTGCGTGACTATAGACTAGTTATATTTTGACCGTAATGTTCAAGTCATTACTGTACATAGTCATGCATGATTGTAAATGACCATGCATTTTCAAAATTACGGTATTAATAAAAATATATATATATAACTTTAAGAACCATGTATGACTAATGCATGATAATGCAAACTCATGGGGAATCATGTAAGCCCTTACATGATCATGAAGCAATGTAAAAACTAAAAGTACACGGCCCAGCTTGGTGACGTCCAATCATGATTGATCATACAAAGTCACGCACGGTCAAGCAGGCTCGTGCTTGATCATTCTGGCCACTCACAGGTGGTCATGTATGGTTAAGCTTGGCGAAGAATAATTGTACATGTTTATTCAAGACCATGCATGGTCATGCATGATAGTTTTAGCTGCGTTGAAAGTTATCGTGCATGATTAGACTTGGTCAAGCATGAATATGTAGTTTCTTACATGCACATGCTTTATTATGCAAGCTCATGCACGACCTTTCAGTTTGATTGTGTATAGTCGTGCATACTCGAGCATGACTGTATATGGATTATGCAAGGTCACGCAGGATCGTTTATGATCACTCAGTATTTCAATGTATGATTGAGTAAGACCTTGCATGAATCATGCTTGACCAGACACGATTATCCATGATTCATGCATGTTTATGCGTGATCATGCTTGGTTAAGCATGGTTATGCAGGCAATTTTTTTCCTGGAATAATCATAATAGAGTATGCATTGACAACGTTAATTAAATGACAATAAAAATACATTTATAAGTAAAATAGTCAAGTCATTTTGTTATGGTTCATCATTTATAATTTATTTACTTTACATTTCTCATAAAAAAAAACAACAAATTTTAATTAAATTAAATTATCAATTTCTCAAAATGTATTTTTTAATAATTTCAAATCATCACATACAAAGTCCTTTACTCGCAATACATGATTTATGGCTTTAATTTGATTTACAGTTACAAAGATTAATTTTTTACTCTCAATTATTGGTATTATATGATTAATTTTCAATCGTTCTGAATTACTAAAGAATCTTTTTTCTTCAATTATGAATTTTTCTAAAACGAAACATACAATACCTTCCACTGCTACAAAAAATTTTATTGATGCATAAGTTACGAAATTGTTAAATAAAATTAATTTTACTGTAAAGCTATTTGTTTTAATTGTTTTATAAAGCTCAGAAGTAAATAACTCCCGATTAATTTCAGCTTTACTATAAATTTTTAAATTCATTGGATCCAAACCAATTGATTCAATCAAGT